GGAATGCTCTTACCATCTGGAAAGACTGGAACTAGCGTATGAACCCTCTGCTCTTTTAAAAAAGAAAAGAAAGTTTATTTTCTTTCTAAAAAAGAAAAGAAGTGTTTATTCATAAGCGTGCTCACCATCCTGCTGGTAACACACTTAACAGCAAATTCAAGGAATTAGGATGTTATGCAAGATCTTGCAGTTTCGGGCAATATTTTCTTCCCCAAACCAAAGTTGTTACTTTTGAAACTAATTTTAGCCAGTGCACTTTCCAATAGCCAGCCTACCCAATGTGTGATAGGCACGTGAACCCCACACACTTAGCTTCAAGAAGGGAAAAATCTCAACCTAAAAAATTCATCTGCATGGCCAAGTGACCTGCAGAGCCAATTTTTATTTCTCTCAAAGGAAAAAAAATGAATGTAGAAGCATGGACTGGTCCTCCTGTTCTTGCAAGGGACCTTGTGATAACTACTTGCCATTAATAGGACAGCGTCAGAATCCAGTACTTGGTCACCAGGAGAGAAAAGTGGGGCAGGTGACACCTAAATTACCGGTAAAGGGTCTTAGATATCGCCATGCTTTTATTTAAAAGACTTGTTTTGAGCTAACTGTGGATTTTGAGAACTAATTCTAGGAAATCGGTTGAAGACGAGGCCTAAAGGTACTGCCCAAGATAAAGGGAACAAAAATCCTTGTTATTTGAGTCGATTGGATTGCCTTAGTTCTGTGTTCTAACATAATCCACATTGCATTAAAAGAATGAACTCAAAAAGATATAACTTCTACATTTACTTTGTATATTTTTCAGTATTAGTGAAACCCTGGCTCTACCTCTCCTCTGTCCAGCTGAGGTTCTCAAAAGGATGCAGGAAATCCCACACAGAACATCTGCAAAGATGAGTTTCCACCTGTAGATCAGGTACAGCTTTTGAAAAGACTTGTAACTTCCTTCCAAAAATGACAGGCTTCACATTTGACATCTAGAAGGACAGAGCTGAATTCCTACTGCCTCGCACCCACACAGCTCTGCTCTTACACAGCTACTGGGGTTCTTCTGAGGGGGTGGGTGGAAGAAGAGTGAGGGGGGAAAGAAATGCTGTGGGTTTGGGGATCATGTTGGTGGGTCATTTTGGTAAGTGACAAAAGAACGAGGCAAGGCTCAAGAGCTGGCTTGCACACCCCGAAAGCTACGTCTGATGGCTTTGGATCCACTGTTTCCAACATCGACTGCCCCCCATCACAGAGCACACGGATGGGGCGAGTTCGGAACAACCACTCTTTGCAAACATCTCTGCTCAAGCTTTCAGCACTCAGCGCAGCAGGAACTTCTAGAGACAGAGGTAGAGGATCTCAGATACAACAGACCAGATGCAAAAATAAACCCAAACAAACCCAAACCAATCTGCCCTAAGTTAACTTGAGGCTTTGGGCAACCTGGTGTAGTGGAGGATTTCTCTGCCCATGGCAGGGGGGTTGGAACTAGATGATCTTTAAGGTCCCTTCCAACCCAAACCATTCTGTGATTCTATGATTCTACCTTTACCCTTGCTACCCATTCATATTTTTCATCACTACGACAACTTACAGCAGCAAACCAGCAATCTGGCTAGACAATATGTGAAAGAATTCTTGGTTTACACCAAGTACTGGCTCTCACTGGACAACCTCTAGCTCCTGCACTACTAAAAAGAACATGTTTTCCTCTCATTTGACTTTTCTGAACCATGTATGGTTTACAAACACTGTGATGGTTCTTCCTTGCTCAGCCTTGTCGAAATGCATTGCTCCTTTAAGTCAGCAGAGAGAAAGAAGGAAGCGGAGCCAGCATCTTGTGACCTTCTGGACATCTGCTCATCGAGCTGACTCAGTTTGGAAGATAACAGGTGACAGAAAGTCAGAGCACGAGATCACCTAACGAGAAATATCCTGTCTGTGCTACACTTACACTTCTTGCCTGGGCCAGGGCACATACATCTTTCCATCAACCAGTCATTCCTGTGCCAAGGCGCATCCGCAGGCGACGCTTCTGCCAACGGCCAGTCTGGAAGCACCGTTTCAGCACAATGACTACACTAAGGAGGTAACTCTGAAGCTCAATATTCATTAAAGCTCAACGTCACAGCCAGGAAATGACATTTAAAAGCCCCTGGTGCAATCTTAACTGACTCTTCAACAGCCTAATCGTATAACCGTGCCACGCTCCTCAAACACGGACTTTTTAGTGGCACTGTGTATTTAAGCTCCGAAAGTTTCTCCAAAATTTGCTAGTAGGGGAAAAAAAAAAAGGCAGTTCAGGTTAACACCTCGCTGGCACATCACTCGTTTGCCTCTGGTTTATGTAGCCCCATTCCAGCAGCCACGAGGTGACTAACATCTAGTGTCTCAGTCCTCATGTTCAAAAGGCAGCAGGATCCAAAGAAAGCCTTTTATGGATTTTCTGGACCAACTCTTTTTCACCACGTTTCTATGGTGTAATTAAGTTAATCACACACTTGACAAACACAGCGATCATAAGTTGTCTGTATGTGAAGCACACTGCTTGTTCACAAATCACAGGTTCAACAAAAAAAAGTTCAATGTCATGCAACACTTGGGATTTAACCTTCATGAAACAGGAATTTTCATCTACTCTTAAAAGCTAGTACTAAAAAATTAAATGGTAACTTTTTGCACCTTACTCATAACAAAGTTCCTTTGCAATGGAAGAAAAATTAGGTTTCTTGGGGAAAACCAAAGGTAACTCACTCTACTTATTACCAAAAGCAACCTTAGAGTACCCAAAGAGGAGCAACAAAAGATAAGCAACAAAGACCCATAGAAACCTTAGTAAGACCAGATGCCACCACTCAATTAAGTTCAAATAAAGTCCTAAATCCCAAGTGATTCTACGATAAACGTACATGGCACGACACTGGCAGAACGTTCCTGCACACCCCTCCAGAGGTCAGAATACAACACACACCCCAATAACAACAAGAAAACCCCACTTAGATTAACGCTAAACTACAAGAGCATCAAAATTTATTTAGTCTTTGGTGTTTTGCAATGTGATAAATATCTCTGATTTATGATATAGTTTATATGTGTTTATCTAAGGGTATAGAGAGAAGGAAGAAGCTAACAGCAGCTTGCTAGAGATGAATTTTGATAGATTGTGGTCACTGGTTTCACATTGTCCCAGGCTGAAGCAGTACAGCAGTCTACAGTCATACAAGGTAAAACGGCAGGGGTAACAGCCAACACATCGAGAAGCTGAAGATTTTTGTTGCAATGAGGTTGAGGAGCATCAGTTTGAAATGAAGGTTATCCCATGGGACAAGGAACGGTACAAGAACAGAAAAAGGTGAATACCAGAAAGCGTACATGTCTCTCTATTTGAGTTACAGCAAAGAACAGGACAAGGTGTGTACGCACAAAACACCCTCTCCCTGGTTTTTTAACTTTTTTTTTACTTTTCATTGACAAGAATGAATAAGAACGCACTTTAGGACAATCAAATCTATCCGTTATTGCATCTCAGACCCCACAGCAGTGGTGAGAGGGCACAGAGGACCATCTGTGCTCCAGCTCGGAGCAGCACTCAGTAAAAAAAAAAAATAAAAAAAAATCCCATGTTTTCATGGGAATTCCCTTTAACCACACATTCACTGGGCTCACAAACATCTCTGAACCACAGACCCAGTAGGCATCGTCAGCTGGAGAACTGGACACAACCTTGGTGGAAGTACAGGCTGAACCACCCATCACAAGGCAGGGATGTTGCTGTGGTTTAGCCCAGTGGCAACTAAAAGCCACACAGCCTCTTGCTTGCCTTTCCCCAGCCTCAGGGGGTGGGGAAGAGAATTTAAGGGGAAAAGGGAAGGAGCCTAGTGGGTTGAAATAAGAACAATTTAATAATATGTGAATAGACATATGTATAATGATAATAATAGATACAAACATGTGATGCCCAGTGTAACTGCTCACCACCCAGGGACCAATGCCTGTCCCGTCCCAGCAACCTACCCCGAAACAGAGAAACCCCGACGCCACAATCCCAGACGAGAGGGAGGCCCAAAAAGAGAACAAGAGGGAGACAGCACTCCAAGAGTCTGAGAGAGAGAGCCCCCAGAAGAGCAAAAGCACTTTTTTTTCCAGTCAGCTCCCATCTATATACTGGGCACGATGCTGTATGATATGGAATACTCCATTGGCCAATTCAGCCCTCAATCCTAAGTCTAAGTTCAAATCCTAAGGGGAGTTGTGGCCCCTCTGTCCCGGCCATGCTCCCCCCTATCCTGTTGTGCTCCTGCACGCTGGCAAGAACACGGCAGCTGGAAAGTCCTTGATGTCTCAGCCCCAACTACAAACATCAGTGCACCGTCAACACTCTTCTCCTAACGAATCCCAGACTAAAACCAAAACACAGAGCTCTTCTGGCTGCTAAAAAGGAAAACTAACTGTGTCCCAGTCAAAACCAGCACAGATGCCTCAGCACCAACTACTTCAGGCTGCTCATCTGTCTCCATTGCAGCAAATTGCTTGCTGAGGCAGACACAGCTATTCTCCGTCAGCGTCCTTTCCAACCTGGAATTTTGCTCTAGGATTAAACATATGGAGGGCACTGTCAGAACACGGAATTCGTGACAAGCCAACTGATCCCTGGTGATTTGTAAAGCATAAAAAGAGAGATGAGGCCAACAGGATGCGACCTGGAGACTCAGTAAAGGCACAGAACACTTGTCCAAAAAATTCTCCATCAGTGCTCTAGTATTTGTGCGTGGCATTAGAGCCAAATGTGAAAAGAAAGTAAATCATATTTTTGTTCAGCTCATGGAGTCAGATCTCCAGCACTGTTTGCAGCATTTGTATTGCACCATTTCATCATTAATTTGCATTCTCACAAAATCATCATATAATAATCATCATCATCATCATCTCAGCTACTTAAAGATGACTGGGTGGAAGTTTGGCACTGATTTCTGAAGAATATCTAGAACTTATGGACTCAAAAAATAAAAACAGATATACTGATTTGCATATTCTCTAATCATTAGTGAAGTCACTGATCCGTATCATAACTTATGACCAGATCCACACATGCCTGCACAGGCAGAAAAGGTGACACCTGAAATTACTCAAAGCTAACAGTCCCCTTCTGGCAGACCATCCCTTGGATACCTTTTTCCATCACTACCAGATGCAAAACACAACCACCGTGATGTTATGGAAGAGTCAGGCCTCTACTGAAGGTGAAGTTGTGCCTTCATGACAAAGCCACGCTCAAACCCTTTCACTGGCTCAGCTATCAGAAAGCACGCAGTGATGTTAACATAATTCCACCTGAGCTTCTTAGCAGGACTGTGCTGCAAACCACACAGCCCCTTGCAAAGCACTTGCTCGCCTACCAAAAACAATTTTCAGCTTTTTCTGTACCATGCTATACAGAGATACTTCCAGGGATGCAATTTTTCCATTTTCACCAGCCTCCTTTGTGCACTAAAGTCTTCCACCAAGCGTGACCTGCCGCACTGACACTGAAACACCAACCACGTGGTCTGCCACCGTGAGTTAAACCCTTCAGTAAGTCACCAACGTTTCCCTACGTGGTCCATCGAGTATTTACCACTACATGATCCTTTGTAACTTTCTGATCATCCCACAAACGGATCCACGCGTGCCAGCAGCCCAGCACGAGGCGTTATCACCGTGCGCAGCCTAAGGAGCTGCACCAAAACTGCAAAACTTACCGTTTCGAAGCTGCCCTTGTGCATCAGGTCAATGGGAGGCCTGAAGAGGTCTGCTAGAGTAGTGAGCTTCTTATCCACTGCCCCTCCATTCCGCAGCTCCTGCTCCTGCCGAACTGCGCCATCCCCAGAGGAAAGGAAGTGGAATTAGGTGAGATTCTCCCAGGATGGATTTACTATCGCTGATACAGCACCAGAGTCACACGGTCAGACCACCCCAAACGAGATGAGCTGCTGTCTGAGGTAAGACCCCTGCTTGCTCTGGCTTTCTCAAGCACTGGGTGTTTGTTTCACTTTTAGAAACCATCTCAATAAATGTCAGTACCAGCACTCGTGGTCATGTGCCAGTATGTGAAAACAAACGAGCGGAGAAAGGTGCTGTGACCTGGCCCCAGTGATGCTTTTAAAAGGAGAAACTGAGCTAGATTGTAGCATCATAACTTTTACTGGGAATGTTTCTATTCCATTGGTTTTATTTCTTGCAATCCCACAGGAAAAAAAAACAAAACCAAACACAGATGTTTTGGAAGTTTATATTAAATATCTGCTCTTCCCACAATGGACTCAGGATGCCACTGTCTCTTTTGGGTGAAAGAGTTTCCAGACTTAATTTATCCCCAAGTACCACACTTTGAGCAGGCTTCTCTTAGCAGTACCCATTCCATCCAAAAAAATACAGACCATATTTCCTACGCACACCTCATCACATACATTAAAGGTAAATCACAGCCTTGGTTACCTAAAAATGCAGTGATACAACCTATTGCATGGAACCAAGCCAGAGGAAACAGGGAATAACTATCCCACGACCAAAAACTTTCCAGTACTGAAAGGAGCTGTCAATGGGCCATAGTGTACAAACCATTTTCAAGCAGACATTGCATCCCCACAGGGAAAATAAGCATCCCTGCAGAACAGGCCTAGGAGCCAGGTAATAACCCTGACTTTCATGGCCAGTGGTGCTTTTTCAGAGATAGCCAGTGTTATTCACCTATAAAATGTTACCAAAAAGCATGATAAAAGTTTCATCATAAACCCTCACAACGGTTTTACGTGTTGTGCACCTCGAAATATCTGATAAGTGAAGATGATGAGAAAAAAATTAAGAGTGTGATTATTCTGTAGATGGTGTATTTTCATTTACACAGCTGCCAGCGACTTCAGTACTTGGCAAGTTCATTACTGGAAAACCCTGAGATCAAACTTGTCAGGGAAAAGAAAGTAATTCTGCATACTTATTTCCAATTCAGCACCCAACGGCACCTAACTACATGGGCACCTGGTCCATGGTTGGACCTCTTAAACGCTCCAGCAACATCAGCGATAACAACTGCACAACAACTCTAACTCAGCTGTGAAACAGAATCACAGAATCATGGAATGGTTGGGTTTGGAAGGGACCTCAAAGATCATCCAGTTCCAACCCCCCTGCCATGGGCAGGGACACCCTCCACTACACCAGGTTGCCCAAAGCCTCATCCAGCCTGGCCTTGAACACTTCCAGGGATGGGGCAGCCACAGCTTCTCTGGGCAACCTGGTCCAGTGCCTCGCCACCCTCAGAGGGAAAAATTTCTTCCTTATATCCAATCTAAATCTCCCCTCTGTCAGTTTAAAGCCATTGCCCCTTGTCCTATCACTACATGCCCTTGTAAAAAGTCCCTCTCCAAATACCTGGCATTCTGCTGCCTGAGAACCCTATTTTATAAAACTTAATGGCTTAAATAACAGCCAATGCTTTGTCATTTGGACATTCTGCGTATGAGGATACGTGAGAAACTTGTGTGCAGCCAAGGAAGCCTCAGAGCTAATCAAATCTAAGGCAAGTGCCAGCATGACCACTGGCTAGCCAAGAAAAATTTAGTGGATTAACTTAATTTCTATAGCGGTGTTAGATTCTTTCCCCTTTTCAATGCCATCTAGAGCAGAAAAAGTATGTTTTTGAGAGTTACCAAGAAAATATTTGCCATATAAAAGCAGACAGAACATACTGTCTGCAGGTTTTACTTATGTAACACAGGCAAGCATTTGGGCCAGCATCTTCACTACCTGCTTCATACATGCATTACTCAGTACTTCTCCATCAGCCACCCCAGAACAACAAACTAACAACTTTATCTCTACCACAACTGTGGAAGAGATGTGTGAGCAAACAGTATTGGCACTACAAAAACAACCAGACTAATAGTGTTACTAAAAAAACCCCTTCTGCTATACAGTAGGCAATTTAAAAAACATTCAGTGACTGAAAGCTGTCAAAGCCTATAACGAAAAGTATTTTTCAATCTTACTTACATTAAAAAAAAAAATATAGAACCTGTAGCTTACTGATCTGTAGACACTTACTCGTTTCTGTTTGAAAATCCCGAAAGCCATCAAATATTGAGCGCGCAGGTCTGCGTCTTTTAGGAGCTTAGGGGGAAAAAAAAAAAAAGCATTTCAATAATTATTTCAAAAGCAGGCTATCAAAATAATTACTTATTAGTGCTTTCCATCACACGTGTGGGACAACAGAATAGGAACCCGAGGCATGAATGATGTGGGAGCTCGCCTGGGCCCACCAGTATGTGGAAGTGCTGTCACGGCATCAACATATCACAGTTCCAGTCAAGAATTTTACAAAAGGCCTTCAAGTAGATCAAAAACTTCAAAAGATTAAACCCCCTGGGTTTTATTTATTAGGAAACATTTTTTTTTCCCCCCCACAATGCATTTCTATTCTTTTCTAGTCTCTTATCCAGCTCCTATCCCAGCTTCTTGGCTGGACTGGCAACAGCCAAGCTTTTCCACTGGGTTCAGTATCACTATCCGCAAGGAAACCTTCAGAACAGATCATGTGGCACTGGGCAGACATGGTGGCCCAGGCAGGTAACTGGAACAGTACCTAAAAGTACCACCCAAGTCCCACGGCACACAACAACCAGCTGTACCTCAGATGCAAAACAAAACTGCCCGCCAAGACTCATTCCACCTACTTATTGGCATGACTATTAACTGAAAGCAGAACAATTTTAAGATAGAACTTTCAAGACATGACAAATTAAAGGGAGTAATATAAAGACAACGTATACCCACCAGAAATCTGTAATAAGGAAAATGATTCAGGGTGAGAAAGCACGACTTCTGCACAGGTCACCGAACCAAGTATCTCTAAGATGTGCTTTGAGAGGCCTTTCTGGGTTTGCACCCATAGCACGTGCAGCATCTCTCACCTTGTGCCACACCAAAGGCAAAGAACAGTACGCAGTTCTCGTTCCTTGCATTCCTCTCATACGGAGTACCGAGGACAGAAGCAGCCTATCCCATACAGAATTCCATGGAAGAAGAAAGCAAGGCTGAATGAAGAACATGCCTGTGAATACTGACCCTCCACCTCCAGTAAGTAACAGCTCTTTCACCTCTAGATGCTTAGGCACAACCCGTTTAAGCCAACTTCAGGGCAACTCAAACTGCACTGAAGAGCAGCACCTGAAGACCACTTCAGCAAAAGCAGCATCTCCCTTGCCCAGCTTAGCTACAGCCTGGCAGTGCTGGTGAAGGCACTCACAGCAGCCCAGAGGTTTTTCTGATACCCTTCACAGTGCAAAGTGGGTTCCGTGTATTGGCAGAGCACAAAGAGACACCATCATCTCTTCTGCTAGAAGGAAACCCAAGCTCGTCTGACTACCTCAATATGACACCTTTAAAACCAGAAACTGGCACATCTGAGGTTAAAATGGAAAAGACCAAGTCTCTCTCCAGTTTCAGCTGGCTTATCAGGCTGCTTCATGTCATAAAGAGAAGTGGCACTCGTGACTATGTTAGCGCCGGCAGACCAGAGAGGGCCAGGAGGCTATTGCTGATCCACGGATCATCTCGGCAGGGCAGTGGGTGACAGCGTGTCCGAGATCAGTGTGTGACAGGTGGGTAGGACAGGACAAGAACTAGGGTTAGGAGATCTTACTCCTGCACTTCTTAGATTCTGGACCCCACAGGAGTCTACAGACCTTTGTCAAAAACTCTGTTGGACCACAGAGAAAGCCAGAGGAATAAGCTGGTGCAGTGTCTTCAGAGAGCCCTCAGCTGGGCATCTTCCTGCAGAACCACCTTCTGCATCCTGGCTAAAGATCTCTCTGATGTTGAAAAAAAAAGGATCAAGAGACATCAGTTCCAGGGTAAGCCTGAAGCTTGGCCTCCTTGGCTAAAGATCTCTCTGATGTTGAAAAAAAAAAAGGATCAAGAGACACCAGTTCCAGGGTAAGCCTGACGTTTGGCCGCCTCCTCCTTTCTAGCACAGGAAATAAAAGAGAAAAGAGCATTTCCTACGGTTATGAGACCACTTTGAAGATGAGCATTGACTTCCCTTCCTCCATCAAAAAGGGCAAGACGTTCAATTCACTTGACATGGCAAAAGCCATACAGACAGCAAGAAATGGCCTGGTCAACACGAGAAGGACAGAGCCTCACAAGGCTAGAGGAAGGAGGCATAAAAAGAGAGAGCCTCAGATCTCCACACAGACACAGATACTATAAAAAAGGAGAGGATAAAGCACCAGATAATCCAGCTCTGCTACACAAGTTCCACCCCTCTGCTGCTCTCTGTAAAAGAACCACTAAGGAAAGATGGTTTGAGATGGAGTTTTTCAGATTCAAGATGTTAATGTACTCAATGAGTACTAAACAGTGTTTTAGGCAAGCACTCCAAAGAAAACAGCACTTCCATCACCTGCTTCCTTAGAGCAAGGAAATGTTTTGAAAGCAAAAGTGATAAACGGCTTCAGAAAACAAACAAGCAAAGTAGCTGCATGGTGCGGTCTGACGAGCAAATTAAATTCCTAAATGAGAAATGGAGAAAACGATGAGTAATCACACAGCTCAGCCCTTCTTTCTGATCTATCACCCCCTGAGAAGCATGTATTCGTCCGCTTCACAAACAAGAATAAAAATACATATGATGCTTTTTTCATATTCAGCAAGTTGTTTTTCTTTCGTCAATCAGCTCATCTCAAGGCAAAGAAAACAAAAAAAACCCACCAAGAACACAAGCCTACCTCCAAACAAGGGCTCCGGCTCTACTAAAATTTCCTGTTTTTGTGGAATTGGAGCTCGTACTTCATCCCTGTCAAAGAGGAAGAAAAGCAAAAAAAAAGGTTAGAGAGATGATAATATTCCAAGTACTATATAAACCACACACCACTGTGTTCCAAAGGCTCCTGCAACTCGAACCAGCTAAGGATGCTGCTGTAGCATTGCACAGAATCAGGAGATTTGGGGTCAAAAGGGAACTCAAGAGACCACCCATGCCCATTCATGGCACCGAAGCAGGACTTGGTGCACTCTGCATTAACATCTGGCATGGATGACCTTTCCATCAAGGCTTGAGAGATCACACAGACCCCTGGGTGACTTGACGCCAGAGTTTGTCCGTCTACTTTCAAACATTTTTCTTTAATAACTGTCTTAAAACTCGCAAAAGTTTCTTAAAACTTAGCAAAGGCTGCTGATTAATTCACTTGCCACCCTCCTCCCGTGATTGTCTACACAGAGGGAAAAAAACTTATTATCTTCCTTATTTTCTATTAGAAGACTTTTTGGTTCCACTTGAAACTCAGAGCACTCTCTTCCAGAGGAAGGAAAACAAGATGGTCAAAATGGCCATTTCTCCCCATTCCTGAAGGAATTCTTTGCTTACATAGCTGGTCTTCCTCACATTTCAACAGCTTAGTTACACTTGCAGAGACTGTTAGATAATGTGAAATTACGACTAGGAGAAAGGAAATCACAAGGGCTCTCAGAAAAGCATCACTTACTCAGTGTGGTCACCTGGACCGTGGTTCTACGTGAAGAAGGGCATGGACTCACCCAAGAAAATCCATTGCTATATCCTGTCCAGGAACTACTCCTGAAACACCCTCTTCCCTCGGACTCTTCAAAGCTACAAAGTGTGCAATTTGTGTCTCTTGGCCATGTGGGTTTTGAAAAGGAACTCATAACATCAGCAAGATGCACTAACCTTGCTGCTAACCTCCATGTCTCTGACTGCAGTTGTGAAGCTAGTTATTCTCCGTTTGCACGAGTATTTATTGCTCCCTCCTCCTAGAAGTAACACTAAGCTGACCAGCACCTGGAAGGTGTCAAGTGTATCCCAATAAAAACCAGAATCTTAAGCCACTGAGGTGCCAGAACTTATCTAGAAAAAGAACTCGAACACCTACAGGTACGGAGTTTCAAGTTCATTACCTGTCAAAGGTTCAAGCAGGAAGGCACTTGACATCAACTCTAAAGGTTAGTACTAAACAGTTG